AAAAAAAAAAAAAAAAAAAAGATGAACAGAGGACAAGCAAAGTTCTGATGGAGACTGAAAGGTGAATATAGGGAGGAGACAATGAAAGCCTTTCAGTGCTGTGACAGACAACCATCAATGGTGGCGCCCTCTTGGAGGGGAGGAGAAATGGGACCTTCCCTTCACTTTTTACTTTATATGTTTCAGTACTATTTGAACTCTGTACACATAACATGTATTGCTTTTGTAATTTAAAATAACTCTTTTGGCCAGGTGTGATGGCTCACACCTGTAACACCTGTAATCCCAGCACTTGGGTAGGCTGAGGTGGGAGGATTGCTCAAGGCCAGGAATTCAAGACCAGAGACAGGGTCTCTCCAAAAACAAACAGAAAACAACAACAACAACAAAAACGCTTCAAAGAAAGCAAGGGGAAAGGCTTATATTAAACTTAATTCTTTGGCAGTACATTATTTTGCAATGGGCTGCATAACAAAACAAAGCATTTCTCAGGAGCAACAACACATTTAACATACTCTGCACAAAGCAAGGGCATACTTTGCCATTTGCAGTTCGTTTTACATTTGTATTTTTAACGACAGTGGTTGGCATGTTTAAAAAAAACTGTTCTCCTCTCTTAATTGCTTTTAGTAAGTCAAAGTACCATGGAGCACAGATCTGTGTGTGTGAAATGCAGCGGCAAAACTCAATTCCACATGTGGAAATTTACCAATGAAAGAGATGAAAGATTCCCTTTCGAAAGGGAAAGGTAAAAATCATTTACTACTCATGGGTGTGTTAATTCTTCTGAATTCCTCTTGACAACAAAGCAGAAAAAAGGCAATTTACAGTTACTAATTCTTATCAACAGGGTGAATTTGTCGGGACTTGAAAGTAATGGAAAGCTTGTATGATTTCCAAGTAATTTTGTGTTAGAATGATTAACAGGCACAGAAGGGGCACGATGAATTCAGTCAAACATGTATCCTAAATCTTAAGAAAGCAGAAATAAAAACAAAATGCCAGGAAAAATAGGATGATTTCACAATCAAGCCTGGCAACTCAAAAAGAAGTCTGGCTTATGAGAGAAATATAGAATTGGAAGCAAGTTCTATGGTAATGAGCAGTGAATGTAAAGAAGTCAGTGTCCTCACTGTGAGCTCTTTTGAGTCATTTTAAAATATGAAAGAAACAGAAAGACAAGAATGCGAACTGAACATCAATGTGTAGTAGAAAAACTACAGCTGGGAGCAGTTCAGCCTCAGGAAAAGCAGTGAAGACAGTAAAAGGACTTTGCCATAATTAAGTTAAAAATTAAAAGAAAGAAGGAAAATCTCAATCTTTTGGAGAACACAGTGCTAGTTCCAGGTGACCAAAGGAAACCCAGAGATACTCAACTCAGAATTGGGCTCTGTCTTTTGAAAAATGTCACATTTTTCAGAAGTTGAAAACAGGTTGAACAACAGAAGCTGAACAACTGCAGAAGATGAACCCAACTTTCAGGCAAGAAAACAGTGAACATCAAGCTACTTCTAGTACGTTCATGTTTGATACCCACGTTACAGATATGGTTACAAGTAAGACTTCGCAACCTGAGAAATCATGGAGAACAGCAGAGAGTCCAGAAAACTTGGAAGAATCAAATGGTGTCTAACTCTTAAAAAGGAGGAAGGAATTATCTGCCATAAACTATACACTGTCAATCCAGTGACTGACATTAAAACAGTTCCACAAGTTACCTGGTGAGCTCTAACAATAAGACAGTTGTCAACAGGAGGCAGCAAAAGAGTTAGTGATCATGCAAAAAAAGTTCATTTCCCTTTGTCACCAACTACTTGGTTAGTAAATCAGGAAAGGCCAAAGCTGCAGAAACTAATCTCCTTTCCATTTTTTATAGGGTTATTGCATCACAGCCGAGCAATATTATGATAAGTATCTATTTTAAAAACTTCAGAAAGACAATGACATCCAGAAAAGATTTGAAACAACAGAGGGCGAACTACTCTTCTGTCTAAGAATGGTAAGCATCTATACTTAATGCTGAGAAGATTAAATGAGTAAAATATGTAAAGTGTTTAGAACGGTGGTGCCTGGTAAAAAAATATGTTTTTATTAACTTATTACTTTTACGGGTTAGTTTTAATTAATGATGGTAATAACCATTATTATTATATTCTTGTGAATATATCTGTATTCACATAAAAACACTTGGCACAGACTGCTGCTATTAAGTCCACAAAAGGTCACAGGGCTGTAACCTTGGTCCTATCCTGTTCAACAGTGTTATCAATGATGTGAAAATTCACAGCTAGAAGGTAGGGAACGCTAACTGCACATTCTAAGATGAACTCTGCCTTGGTACTAAACCATTAACATATTTAAAGGGAACAGCACTATCCTAAGGTGAGATAAAACAGAACAAATGTCTTTCCCTACATGTAAAGATGGGATGAAGTTTGCTTAATAAGTCTTTTTTATTTTTTTGATAGTTGAGGGATTCAGTTGCTCACAGGTTCAATGAGCCAAGAGCAAACAGCTTCTGAAAGGGGATGAACTAACAGAAACTGAATGAATGTGAATATCCTGATCACAAGAAATATGAGTGCTCTGTATATGCCCTAGGCAAACACCACCTGGAATAATGTATTCAATTAGGCGTGGTCAGTTTTACCGGCAGTCCTGACGAAAGCAGACAGGCACCCAGGATGGGCGCCCGGGAGCTGGTGTCTATGAGGAACACGAAAGCAGAGAATGCACAGCTGCAGGAGAGAACTGAAGGGACAGAGTCCTCAGATCAAAGGGTACGGTGGCTGACTTCCTTCCAGTGAGTGGAAGAACTTTCTAAATTTCGAGGCAAAAAGGAATGAGTTACCTGGTTTCAAGCATCCTTTGGCTTAAAGTAGTCAAAGAGAAATATGCAACTGTTTGACAGGGAGGGGGGGAACGAAACTCCTTCCCAGAGACAGAGATGAGAGCTTATAAACTGAGCTCACGGAGGGCAGGGTGCTGTATTCATAACCCAGCTAGACACAACACTCAGTGGTCAACAGATGTCTGATACACAGACACAGGAGACGAAGACACGGAAAAAGGCAGTACTTCGGAGGTCTCTCTACCTCTACAATGATCACTGATTTCTTTTCAGAGTTACTATTTTATTCGAAAGTGAAAACAAAGCCCCAACTACTTCTGCAAAATTTGGGTTACAAGATTAAGAAAATAATATGGTATATCTTAATTTAGGGTTACTCGGTTTCTTTGTTTTCAAAACAAAGTCAAAAGGGATTCTAATCAAGTCCTGAGAACGGACTACATCCTTCAGTTGCACCCCGGTGTTCTGACGTCTCTTAAAACCAGTTACAAGGTCATTATGGAACTTCCTATACAACCTGCTGCCTAGAATCTTTTTAAAAATTAAAAAATATAGCTAATATCAGTGTGTAACAACAGTGGAAATGTCAGACTATCCAACAGCCACAGAGAAAGTAACTTTGTGATTTACTTTCTATACGTCATCCTAATCCAGCACATGGGAAAAACCCTAATTCCCATAAATTTCCAATAAGAATAAACAAAACACAAACGAAGGATATTAATGAGAAATCAAAATCCTCCTCTTTGAAACGCAACCGAGAGAAGTCCCTCAGATTACCTACCTCAGAGTCAGCGTTCAGGTGAATGCCTCCGGCCAAAGCTGACCAGAAAATAACCTTCACCTCTTCTTTTTCAAAGTGTGTGGCCCAGGCACTCCGCTGCTCAGCAGTCAGCAAGTCTGCCTTGTTGATCAGAATGATGTTCTCCTTATTGGCATCTATTTCTTTCACATAACATTCCTAAGCAAGACAAAGAGATTTAGAAAGACCTCTTCAAACAAGGAAAAATGAAGCTAATTATATGGAAGATCCCAATAAAAGTTTTTACCACCTCTAGTTTTTCTCTTCTTCTCTTTTCCACCCAGCTCCTACAGACTGCCCCAGTTTTAAATCACATCCTAAATTTAAAGATCTTTAATCATGATGCATTATACTAATCCTTTCAGTAAGCTTTGAAAAGAAGTTCCACCATTAATTTATTTATTTATTTATTTTTTTTTTTTTGAGACAAAGTCTCGCACTATCACCCGGGCTGGAGTGCAATGGCGTGATCTCGGCTTACTGCAACATCCACCTCCAGTATTCACGCGATTCTCCTGCCTCAGCCTCCTGACTAGCTGGGATTACAGGCGCGTATCACCCTCTCCAGCGAATTTTTTTAAGTTTTTTAGTAGGAACAGGGTTTCACTATGTTGGCCAGACTGGTCTTAAACTCCTGAGCTTGTGATCTGCCCGCCCCAGCCTCCCAAAGTGCTGGGATTACAGGCGTGATTGTGTAATCACCATCATGTAATCACCGAAAATATTAACGGTGGGTGCCCAGCCTACCATTAATATTTTTGCTATTTAAAAATAATCTGGGCCAGACATGGGGGCTCAAGCCTGTAATTCCAGCACTTTGGAAGGTGGAGCGGGGAACACTGCTTGAGCCCAGGAGTTAGAGACCTGGGCAACATGTCAAGATCCTGTCTCTACAAAAAATTACATATATAAAATAGTAATAATAAAGAATAACATGTACTACAGTTCTCAAAAAGAAATACGAATACCTCACGTTATACAATGTTTTGTTAACTAACCCAAAGCTTTATTACATTATCTCAAGGGATTCTCATACCTTAGTTATTAACCCCTGTGGTGTTTCATAAACTGAGCTCACTTGTAAAATACCACAGGGAGTCATAACTGAAGTGTGAGAAGAGAGAACTTATGGGATGAATTAAAAAGTGAAGTGACCAGCAATATGCTAAAATAAATAAAATGCTGTTTCAACTGGTGTTTCCTGAAAAATGGGAAACTGGCAAATGCCTATTAAGTGGCTTCTAAACTAAAAGCTAGAAAGCCCAAGCGTCTGTGCCTTCTTGCAGATAGAAACGGTTGTTTGAGAAGAGAAAGCATCTGTCTAAACAGTGGCATTATGCAAGCTCCTGACCTTGGAAGGAGAGGAGGCCTAATTAAACAAAGCCAGAGAGGAAAGAATGTATGCCTACAGTTATTGCACTGAGTGACGCGGCCCTCTCATTGCTACTCAAAGGACTTATGTTTGAATTTTGTCAAACTTGACTTACCAGATCCTCACATCTAAACAGGAGTGGGTTTCGAGCATCTACTATCTGGACCACAATATCACTGAAAAACAAACATGAGATAGACCAATCACTGTGAAGCAAAAGGGATTATTAATCACATAATAATGGCCAGAGTAGCAAACACTTGCAATATATGAAGCAGTGGACATACATTAATTTTTTTTTTTTTTTTTTGAGATGGTATTTTGCTCTTGTTGCCCAGGCTGGAGTGCAATGGCACGATCAAGGCTCACTGCAACCTCTGCCTCCCGGGTTCAAAGATTCTCATGCCTCAGCCTCCCGAGTAGCTGGGATTACAGGCATGCACCACCACGCCTGGCTAATTTTGTATTTTTAGTAGAGACGGGGTTTCTCCATGTTGGTCAGGCTGGTCTCGAACTCCTGACCTCAGGTGATCAGCCTGCCTTGGCCTCCCAAAGTGCTGGGATTATAGGCATGAGCCACCGCGCCTGGCCCATGTATTAATTTTTTAAGGTATAATTATTCCCAGTTTATGTATGAGTGACTTAAGGCTCAGGGCACTTACGTAACTTGCCCAAAGCCACCAGCTAATAAGTAACACAGCCAGAATGGGAACCTGGGCAGCTTGGACCAGAGGTTATGCTCTTAATCATAACATACTATTGCTCTCATACAGCCTAGAGGGGTTCAGATGATGTTTCATCACCAAAACATCCACTGTACTTCTGTGAAACTCTCCTGGTGAGATAAAACAGTATTCCAAATACTTCGCTCCAAGGTGAAGTCTACTAACTACTCAATCCCTAATCTGCATTCATGTTAAGGCCTCAAAAGAAAACTAGTAAATCACTCACTGACACCTGCCGCTATTGAAACTAGTATCTTATTTAAACCCAGGAATAACAAGAAGAAAGCATATTTTTGGGAAACAATCATCCACCGATTCCAAGAATGTGTTTAAATGGCAAAACCACAAAACAGGGAAGTATCAATTTAGGGTGCCCGGCTGAAGCAGGAAGGGCAAGTCCAACTTCTTCCATCACATATAAGGAGGTATGGCAATAAGGCAACCTGCAGCTGATGGCAAGCCCCTCACATCCCTCACAAATACAGTGGGGACTACAGGTCTCCAGCACTGCAAGGAGAAAAAAAAAAATTCGTTTCTCTGGGAGGCTCCTCCCTTCCTTCAGCCTGAGGCTAGATGTTATAAAGACCCACGCCACTGGAAGGAAATAAGCTACAGATGCATGACTACTACCTCACAGCAGGGTCTCCCCAGAATCCTTATTCTGTTAACAGCCTTTTCTGGGGCAACTTTGCAAATATGCTAAACACCAAGGAATTAAGGTGACCATTTAGGGCACACTTTTGACATTAAAAGTCCATTTTCTTTTAGAATAGTTAAAATTTCAGCATAATCCTGTGATGCAAAGAAACTCACAGACTTGCTAATTTTGGGCAAATTGTTTTTTAAGTTCTCTAGTTAAGCTGGTTCTAGTATTTCCTTCTTTAAGGTAGGCATTCACTTTCAAATGGGATATTTAATAGTAAATGAAGAAATGATTGCCAAAAAATGGACAAAGCCTAATCAACTAAACCCACAACGTCTACAAACATTATGTCGACAAACTGAACGTATAGAAAGAACAGTCAGTTTAGAAACACCAGTAAGAAAAGAAGGCATTTTAAGACAGCTGCTTCATGTGCTGAATGAGGATGCAGAGCAAAGCGCCAGCCACGTAGCAGGCAGGGTCGATGCCGCACAGTGGAAGTACCCTATCTTACTGGAATACAGTATTCTGCCCTCAGTGCCTCTGCAGTTTCCTGCATTTCAACGACATAGTATATATCTAATCTTTTCTGACCACTACTATTAGAATTAAAGAGGCAGATGGCTTAGCCAGCCTGTTACCAAACAGGAGACATCTGCTGTGGAGAAGACATTAATAAATATTTCCCATTCAAAGATGTGGCGGCAGTCATTTTTAAATAAATATTTCTATGTAACTCAGATCCACTTTCTGACAACTATATTCCTTGAGTTAGGAAACATGTTCTCTTATTTTAAAAAAGGAGAAATACTACCTAATAAAAATAACAGAGCAAGTAATACTGTAATCCAGTTAAAGCCAGAAGTTTCAAGATGTACAGGCTCACTTGGGAAGTTATTTAGGGGCATAAAAAGTGTAAGAGGGCTTCCTGTTAAACTCAGCACAGATGGTTACCTCTGCTCCCTCTCAAAACCTACAAAAACAAAGGCTGAAATTCATTAGGATAAAGAGAAAGAACAGCAGCGACCAAATGTCAAACCAATAAGACGCAAACCTGTTCATGCCCCAGACAATAAAGAAAGCCCAGGATTAGAAGCATCAGCTCTGTCTCTCAAGGGCAAGAATGAGGCCTGGGCCTGTAACCAGTCTGAACAGTGAGCTTGTAGGTTGGCTCCTCTGTTCCATTCAGAGAGGCAACTACAACCCATCACACAGCCCCACTTCCCCACCCCAACAGCAGAAGGCTGGAGTTTGCTATGGAGAAAATGAACTTGAGACGTTCCAGGACTGGGACCTCAAATACAGGGAAAATGGGAAAGAGCTGCCACAGTGCAAAAAGGGGAATGAAACGTAAGCCTCTGAAGATTCTGAACTGTGAAGATGCCCAGCAGCCTGTATTATACCACCTCCTGCCCCTTTCCTGCCAGGAGGTCATTCTTCTTTTTAAAAACTGACTGGTTGGGAGGCCGAGGTGGGTGGATCACGAGGTCAAGAGATCGAGACCATCCTGGTCAACATGGTGAAACCCTGTCTCTACTAAAAATACAAAAAATTAGCTGGGCATGGTGGCGTGTGCCTGTAATCCCAGCTGCTCAGGAGGCTGAGGCAGGAGAATTGCCTGAACCCGAGAGGCGGAGGTTGCGGTGAGCCAAGATCGCGCCATTGCACTCCAGCCTGGGTAACAAGA